GTAAGTAATAGTTTTAAAATCATTCTTGATGATATATTCATTAGTTTTCTCCAAGCTATATGTCATGTTTAACCACAAATATTTAAAAAATGTTATGAGTCTTCAGATTTTTATTTTAAATTTTCATATCATTTTCAGATAATTTTACATAGCATAAAGGGCAAAAAATGCAAAGGATCAAGAAAAATTTTAAAAGATTGACGGGAAAGTATTTGTTCCAAACGGGGTTAACACGTAAGCTTAGATATGTGAAACTAACTCATAAAATGTTCGATGTTTCTTAACTTTTATAATTAAGAAATTATACTTGCCTCCACAAGATCTGTAAGTTATCTTTCAAATAAAAAAAGACCATAACTTTCATAAGCGAATGTCCTGAAACCAGGCTTTAGGCTGATTTCCATGCCTGATTTTCGCGCTTGCTCTTTTGGGCGCCAAAGTTGAACCTCCCTTTTTTGATGCAGGACCCTTAAATGTATAATTGGAGGCGTTATCTCACTAACATTTTCCTAGGTTTATTATTCAACCAAAACAGTATATGAGCATGAAAGCTTCCTATATGTTGAAACTCAGTTTGAATATATAGTAAAAAAAAAAAAAAAAAAAAAAAAAAAAAACACCGAATGGACTGTTCTGCCTTCTACTGGTCAAGGGTGACATCATAACATCAATCAGTTTTTAAAGTATATACAGTTAGAAAATGGCTTTTCATTCACAAGTGTACTCAGCATATTTGTGTTCGATTTTTCCGAAATATTGAATTCATCGGGACCGATAATGTCTTTGTAATAATCAAAATAGTGTGTATTTTTGCCTAAATCGAAGACTCTACTGTTGCTCAACTACAATTCCAATTTTTTGTTTATTTGTTTTCCATAATGATCTTCTTTAGCTATCAAATAAGCCATAAACAAAAAACTATAGCTTTGGGGGTTATTGAGATATAAACGTTCTACTAATATATGCTTCGTATCCTAAAACTCTTTATGCTTCCGTCATTGAGGAACGTTTTCCTATGTTGAAATTTCCTATTCATTATGAAAGCAAGTAAAATATTCATTTTTTAATCAAATAAATTTGTGTGCCATAATTTTCTTTACCAATATGTCATACTGCAAAACATTCAATTTCAATTTAACTCTGCAGATGAGATTATGTTATTTGCAATATTCAACAAGAATGCAAAATAAGTAACCAGTGAAAATATTCAAATTGTGAATGAGATGTTTTAGACATAACTTTAGAGTATTAACATAAAGCAAATTTAGCATACTGAATTTTTACATAATTTTTATTGTAAACTTTTACGGCCTAACCGTTAAATTAAAGCGTTAAGTTAGAACGAATTAAACCAACTGACCAATAAGAAATAAAGGGTAAAATGGTTTGGGAGATCAGATTTAATTCCAGGAATATCCGTGTTTTTGAATGTTTTGAAGACCCGTTGATCCATGTGGTTCCTTTCCTAATCTGGTTTATTCTACCTGCAAATCGCATGATATCATACCTGTGAATTTAAGATCAATGCAGTCACTTTCTGATTTGACTGCTCTGAAAGGAAAACTGAGAAAGATAAATTGCCAAAAGCGAACTAGTAATGAACAACGAAGCGTACATCAAGTGTTAAACCAATTCAGTCGGATGGTATCTCTGATGTCTAAGAGCAGAGTTCATTTCAGGATTTTGTTGAATGCTTTGTCGTTGAACAGAAAACGATTTCTGACTTTTCTTCTTGGAACATTTGAGTTGATAACTAATCTAATGTAATAGCGCTTGAGACTTTTCGTACTTTTTTAAGAACTGGACATTATATATTTGGGCGGTATAAAAAATCTCTCATTTATTTATGAAATCTCATTTCGTTTTTGCATCTAATACAAAAATAAAATTTTGAAGTGTTCCTTAGTTACCCAAAATAGTATATTCCCATGGCCAATTAAATTTACTAAATTTACAGGTTAGAATGTTTCATGTTGCTTAGCCCTTGAATTTGATTAAATTAGACTTATGAAAATATTATTTTAAGAAGTAACAACAACTCTACAATGTAGATTTATACTGCTCTTTCTCGTTACGTGTTTTATGGTTTTTAATATAAAGTATTTAGACATCTTAGCCTGTTATTTAAAAATTCCTAATTCAACGAAAATGACTGTTAAAACGTTATGTATTTAGGATTAATAAAGTCATGAGTTTTTCTTGCTTAGATACACTTTCGTTATTTTTGATTTTTTTATTCTTTTAGCTTTCAAGAACGCTTTTGGCAAAGTCAAACCGTGAGTATCTGAATAAGCGGATATGGGTATAACAGTTATATGTTCTTGAAATTGAAGAATTGAATTCACATGAACCAAAAACTCACCAGGAATCTAGCTTTTTGATTCTTGAACACTAGTAGTTCAAATTGGATTCAAATCTTGGCGAATAAGCTGGCTTCATGGAGGGTATTGGCCCACCAGCGGCCGAGCAGTAAAGTCGCTGAACACTGGTAGTTCGGTCCGAGGTTCGGATCCCGCGAACGGGCTGGCTGCATGGGCGTCGTGGTTTTCCCCATGTGTAACGTGTATACGAGCCAGTTTCCCTTAGAAAGTCCTCCACGAAGGCATCCCTCCTCTTAGGCAGATAGCCCTCGAGGCTTTGCCATAATCACACACACACACATGGAGGGTATTGTGATTTTCTTGTTTAACTTGAATGCTGGCTAGTGTCGCTTAAAAAGTCCTATCCATTAAAGGAAAATATCATTGTGAGACCAATTTTAAAAATTCTTTAAATACTTTAGTTTTGACACTTGCATGCATTTTAATTCATTCAAAGATAATAATTTTAAAACCGCTATATAGAAAGATGTTATTTAAGAGAACAATATTTGTACAGAGTTTTGGCCTAAAAATGAGATATCTTCAAAAGGAAAAATTCTTCTTAAACTAGTAAATTTAAATATTTTCCAAAAGTTTACCAAAATACCGTACATTTTTTTTTTCTTTTTGATGCACTGCAGTATAAAAGGCATTGTTTTGCTTTGAATTTTTCTAAGATTATGTTTCTAAGATTTCTAAGATTATTTTCTGTTTTCATATATTTTAACTCATAACACTTGAAACTGGAGCAATACCTTATAATAATCTATGCTGATGTCAAATACAACATATGGCCATCAAAACCAGGGGGAAAATGTGGAAAAAAAAATAAAACCATATCTGAAAACAAGTATTCATTCCCCCCTAAGGTCAGTATCTTTGCTTTTCGCTCGGGAAATGTAGACGAAAAAGGGGAAAAAATTCAGGTAAGCTCTTTCCCTTGTTTCACACGGAAGACAAACTAAATAAACCCATTTTCCTCCGGCTGCACCTTTTTTCTCATGTTTCTTCGCTTGCCAAGTAATGGGAATCGATTGGGATGCTGGTACGCAGAGGGACCAAGACGACCGATAATGAGGCTAAAACGTCCAACGTTTTTATCGTCTTTTCAGGTTACAGATTCGCTTTTTTTTCATTGGGTCTTCTTGCTTCATTTGTAGTTCGCATGGAGACGTAACCATCCACTAATGAGAAACGAAGGATTGGAAGAAGAGAACAGAGAGCTTTATCGAGTATGTTTGAGTACTTTCATCTTGTTATTTTTTATTTATTTTTTTGAACACATAAACATGTTATGTTAAAGTATTCTGAGTAACGGGCTCTCGAAATATGTTGCTCAAATATATAAATGCGCAATGACGCATTTCATCTGCGTTCTTTTTTATTAAGTTTTATGTTTTTCATTTATTTAAAAATAAGGAATGAACGCTTTTAAATTCTAGACGCTCAGGGTTTATTTAAATCCGGTTTTCAGTAACAAAATAGAGCTGCTTTCTGATATTTACGATCCACATTTTTAATTATTGCTCAAAAATTAAACCACACTTCGTTTCAAACTGTCAAAATACTTTCTGATACCGCATTTGTTCTGAAATTGAATTATAATCATAAACTAGAAAATTTATTGTTGTATATATTGGATCTGTGACAGATATAAGACGAATTTTTTGAGTAAAGCTACACTAAACTCAGTGGCGCAACAGCCCTAGTGGGCCAAAGCCTGCAGTGCCCGAAATCTGATATCTTGACCGTGGGCCCCGAGGTGCGTGAGCTTATGCCCTGAACAAGTGTTCAGCTTGTCGCAGAACCCCGGTGTTTAGTCCCCCAAGCGAACTTGGTACTCATTTTATCGGCCCTCTCAAGAAATGAAGAAATGAGTCAACCTTGCCCAGTCCGAGGATCGAACCCCGGACATTTGGTGCTACAGCGCGATGCGCTAGCCACTGCGCCACCGGGCTTCAATTTTAGAGTAGAGGGACCAGATAATTCTGTCAATGCAGAATACGAAAATTTTAATGTCAATGCATAATGCGACAATTTCTAAGCCATATTCCGTAATTTTTTTTTATAATCCATCTTTTTTGAAGCATAACCTCATTATTTCAAACAGTTAATAGTTTTAGTTGGATTTTCTTTTAGTTCATCACATGATCAAATCAATTTACAGAAATTTTACATAAAATTATTTCATGCCCACTCTTTCCAATTAGCAGAGTTGTTGATTCTCTGAGCTATCGAAGTAAGAGGATAATATAATTTCCAATATTGGATTTCCTAGTAACGAATATTTACTTACTAAAGACGAAAAGAATCCGAAACAAAATGGAGGTTGTATTGTTCATGAGAATTTTGTGCTATTTTAGCTTTTGCAGAAGGCAAGATGTCGTTATTTTTCATTTTATGATCCTCAGCTAAACAAATATCTGCTAAGGAGAATGATTTTATATTATGTTTTGCAGAAAGAATAACGTTATTATTAATATTAAATAGTACGAATTATTGTGCATAACGCTGAGAATTTTACTCAAGTGCCTTTCATTATTTCTTTTTTAAAGAAAACAAGTTTGGGCTTAAAAGTGTTTGCAACAACGTTTAAATCATGTTTCAAATTTTTAATTGCATTGAAAAAAGTAGAAACACTCATGGGTTAAACTTTTATTTCACTATTCATCTGTACACAACACTTACATATTTACAGGTATATATTTATAATACACAGTAATACAAAAATAAAACTTTTGGCGGCCCATCAGTCTCGGGATTCTATGCTACGTCATAATGACATACCTTCCACACAAATTACTTCCTTCATTATTTTTAACCAATCATAGCTTATCCTCTAAAAGGGAAAACATCAAAGCGAAGGTGTTGATGGTTAAGAGTGGAAGACATAGTTTTACGAAGTCCGAGCTGTGAGTAAAGCATAATAATAGGCAACTGCGCTGACTTGGTAGTGTCCCTAGAAAAAGAGTTATTTTGATAACTTGATTATTAATAAATCACCAAAAATCCATTTAAGGGCAAAACTACTGGCGTGCTCAAGCAAAACTGAAAATGCAGGAACTGTTTGTGAGTTATTCAATCTGCTTTAAAATCAGATACTTTTGGAGGGAGACAAATAATTTTTAGTGCAATATTATCAATATTTATTTAATAATTTATTAAAATGAAATGCTTAAAATTATATCCGAAACTAATTTACTGTTAGGAAAAATTACCATTGGCAGCAGATAAAGTCTAAGTACCTGTTTTCCTGAACGCATCTCTTACCGTATTTGAATAACACGAAATAAAGAGAAAATTAAAAATCAGTCAAAACATAAATTAATGTGCATGTGGCATTCATTCCTTGTATTTAATTATGTTTAAAATTTTCAAACTTTTAAACGGAAGAAAAATGCTTTCTTTAACTTGCAAACCCACCACATTTAACGTTTATCTTAAAAACATCAACTATTATCATTATTTTTTGTATTCAACTCATATTATTCATTTACGCTCAATGTTCTACGAATAGATTATGAGAGCAGCTTCCGTTCCACACAGACTTCGGAATTTACGTGTTATTAACTGCATAAGTAAATATTCTGAAAATAAAGTTTAATTCAGGCAAAATAATAAGAAAGTTAACTAAATTTGGAAAATGCTTATACATTGTCTTTTCGATCTTATAATTAAAATATGGTAGGTAGGCTGATAGCAAAATTTTAAGACAGTTTCTTTTATTCACAATCAAAAACTCTGTCTTTCTCTAATTTTTCTTATTGAGATGCACTTTTTACAGTGTCTGAAGAAGGATAAAAGAGGTGATATACACTTTATATTACAGCTGGGAGTATTTTTCACTTTATAATTTCAAGGAAACTTCTTTTCGCTAATTTTATTTTCCAGCTTTAAGGATAACTTGGGTTATTCATTTAGAAATTAAAAAAAAAAAATTATTGTCAATATTTGTTGGATGAAACCTTATGCTGTAAAATATATCAATGAGTTGGCAAGAAAGAAAGCCGAAAACTGTATTGCAGAATATTGACCCATTCCGTGCCCTATATCATATAATATAAAAATATTTCTCGAAACTCTCACTAAAAAGATGCAAGAAGAGTGAAATGCTTATGAACTGAGGATACTCAACTTTAATTACTTGTCAACTTGTGATCTTATCTCAAAACTTTAATTCTGCAAATATCAATAGATGATGCATGACCTTCATAATACCAAGTACAAGGGTGTTGATCCTGAAAAGGAGACGAAAAGGCAGACTTAAAACTTTACAATCAGCCCTGTGTTATGAGTCTTAATATATTAGGTCAACTGAAAAAAAATTTTTTTTTTTTTTAATTTCATGAACTTTCCTTAAAGAATTATGCATAGAATTCCTTTACAAAGAAAATTACCTAAGAGCGAAAAAATTCTGTTTTATTTGTGAGGGGAAAGAGATGAAATAATTAAAAATGCCAGAATAATTATTGTGCCCTCGAATTCAAAATATATATTCATGATAACAGATGAAATAAGTAACTATTGGTTGCTTCGCTTAAAAACGCTTATCGTATTTGGAGTTTATGATGTAATATTACTGAGTAGAAAAATTTGATTAGCTATTTCTTTTTCTTTTTTGCTAGTATAACATATTATCAGTTGTCAAGCAAATACGAAATGAAGCTTAAAACCGGGCTATAACTTCGCGACTTTTATATTAAAAGAAATAAAACATAAGAACATGTACACATTAAATTAATTTGCAATTAATTTATCATTTTGAATACCTATTTAAAATATTACATTTGGATAAAATATTTTTTCATACAACTTAACCTCTGTTGAAAATATAATACAAATTAGCTTCACGATAAATGAGTAGGTTCCAGTCTTTATTGGAAAAGATTCAAAATTGGATACATTTTATATATAAAACTGTAAATGATTCCTTATATTCAGACAATTCAAAAACTTAAAAATGTAAAATCCATCATAAATCTGTTATACAAAGCTATGTACTTTAAATATACGAATGGACTGAAGTTTATAGTTACATTTGTATTCTTGAAGTTTATGAAAGAGGTTACTATAATTTATCTCTGAATAAATCGCACAGATGCGTTTTTTGTGACATACTTAAGAATAAAAGTTGCATCTTGTATACTTAGTTTTTCTTGACAAACATACCTTCCGCATCACTAAACTTGTGATATAAAATATCATCTAAAGCTGAAATTTCTAAGGTACTGAAATCATCTGTTTTCTTAAGACGCAAGTTGTATGTACTGCTAGATTGCTTTAGAATGCTAACCCATGCATATATACATGTATATATGCCTGCAACAAATAGAAAATTTTTCTGATATATTTTGGAATTTCAAATATGCCATTACTTCGTAATATTAAATTGCTCTTGCGTGTTTGCATTAACTTATAAACTGCATTTCGTGCACCAATATTAAATTTCGTCTCAGCTTTAAAAAATCTTTTTTAAGATTTAATAGGTCGGTATTCTTTTAATACATATTTTGAGAAACATAATTACAATGAAATTTATTTTTTAATGAAATAAAAAATAAATTTCAGTATCAACAGACGCAAGTTTGTTCCTGGAAATACTAAAAGTTTAAATTAAAGAACATTTTGCTGCAGAAAAGTCCAGTTACTTATATAATAATATTAAGGGAAGATTTATTATTTTTCATTTAACTATGAATTAATATTTACATATCTTTCGAGTTAGCGATTTCGAAAAGTCTTTTATTTAAACTTTGGTTTATAATTTAAAACATTTTGTAATTTTTATGGAGCTGAGACAGATACAAATACTTTTTTCTTGAATAAGATAAGATAATGTTTTGATAACAAATCTTAAATTCTTTTTCCCTATATTTACCTCTAAGCAAAACCAAAATCAGAGATTAATATATACAAATTATCATTTGCTTGGATTTTGGTATATTTCTTAAATAATAAAAATGCAAAATTATACAGTAAATAAAATTTATTTTTTCATTCTATTTCGTTATTTGTTTTCCTTCCTGTTTGAAGTGATTATCTTCTGCAAATTTAATTAATATGTTGTCTTTGATTGAAAACATCAATTTACGTTTAAATACGTTCAGTTTTAGGAAATTTACGTAGAAGAACAACCATTGATTATGAAATAATTATTCTTTAATTAATCTTCTCAATAATATTTTTAAATAAAATTATGTTTATTTTATTGTCTTAAATTAGAACTTAAAATTAGACTGTTTCCTTATTCACTTTAAAAAGTACTTCATAATATTTCAGATAATATAGATAATATTACTTATTTCCATACACATTTTTCTTTAGTTTATATTCATCGCATTTAATTTTTTTATGTTTCAGATACGGTCATTTAAATGGAGAAATGAAAAAAATCGAATAAATATGGTTTTATACTCAGGGTTTAGCTTCACTCTAACACTTTTTAATTCATAAAACATTCTTTCAATAATGCATTTGAAAAGATTTACACAGAGTGGCCAACTGAAGGTAACTACTACCTTGATATACAGAGAGAAACTACTGCGGCTATGTTTAAAAAATGTGAACTGAGTTTGCAGACATGAAAATTCATTAAAAGAACTTTAAGGAAACTAGCATTTTAATTCCATAGAATATTATGTTTTTATCTGGTAATATTTTAGGAATGTCATTGTCTATGAACAGCGTCGGACAAGAAAATTACCTGATTAAACCAGGAAAGTAAAAATCCATTTAATATTTTATTTAATAATGCGGCTAAGCAAACTAATTTTATTATTTTGATTTTACTGGATTCTGCTCCAATTTATACATACTATTACTCAATTGTATTCACTTTTCTGTTTCTAAAATCCTCAGTGAAAATGCACTATAACACGCTGTTTACTGAAAAGAAAAATTTTATAAACGTGCAGGTGAAATTTTTAATGTTTAATCTCTCATTTAAAGCTGTGACTTCTCTTATTAATCAAAACAATCTTTGAAAACAAATGCTTATATAGCCTTACACTGAAAAGAATTTATGTATATTTTTCACTTCATAATTGAGTCAGCAAGCAATAAAAATAGTATGGAAAATACGTGACGAAATGCGTTGTAGTCTCACTTAAAAGAGAAGAAAAAATTACAAATATTAAGTTTGTGCTCTATGCTGTCTAAGTTTTAATTATAAATCTCACAATTTAGAAAGGTAATTTAATGAATATATTATTAAAATTTTTGAAGTCTTTTTAAAGGAATTAGTCACGAAACTAAGCAAAATCTCTAATTTTATTAAGTGAACCATTTTATTTCATAACTGGTAATCTTCATTTCTGAAATCGATAAATTAAAAAAAATTACCGATTTATCGATTCGTCATTATATTTTTCGACTTATCGTTTTTATTAATTCTGATAAGTTAAGTCTATCAGCTGAAGTGAATAACGCAATAATGTTGCAAGAGGTTTTTAATCGCTAAGTTGAAAGGATCCCACCAAGTTACTATCCCATTTGTCGTCTCTCAGCTGCCAAAATTTGGTCTGTTTACAATTAATGTAAAGGTCGTTTTAATATCCAACATATAAACTCTTTATAACATTGTAACGATGCATAAAGTGTGTTTTAACAACGACATTTTACACAGCACTCGGACAATAGAGACAGCAATATATAAACATACAGTGTAAAGTACAAAACATTGTATATGAAGCATTGACAAAGGTACTAACGTGATACACTGTGTGTAGTTATTCAAACATATTATAGGTTTTTTTCCATATTCTTGTGTAATCATTCACAGTAACTGTTTTACACATGTAAAATATGTTGTTATCCATTCAAGTTAAATACCATCACAGATGTAGTCTTTCTTCCGAAAAGTTTTCCGAAAAGTCCATACTGTTTTTTTAAAAAATCAAATATGAAAACGGAAAATATTTAAGAAAATTCACAGTACACAATACAAATAAGAACAAAATGTTATATTCATAAAAATATCCAAATATTACTAATTATAAAAAAGAATATTTTCTCATTTACATACAAAACTAGTTTCAAAATTTAAATGATTTCCTTTTTAAAAAGGTTAAACATTATACTTTTTCAATACATATCCTTAACACCTAATATTTAAATAAATTTCTAAAGCTATTTGAGTTTGCAGTGCAGCATTTCATATATTTTATAACTTATTTTTGTCTGTTGGTTTTTTAGATTTTCATACTCAGTTTTATTTCCTAATACGTAGTAAAGCAATTAGTTAAAATTTTTAAATATTCTTCATTCATAATAATGTGTAGGAGTTAAAAAGATAGCTTTTTTAAAAATGTCTGTTCATTAAGTATTTGAAAAATTACTTTTTTCACAGTTTTCCTTTCGTGGAAATCTACCAACGAATATATTTCATGATTTTTCGTACACAGAAATAATTTTTATAACATTTGAATTACTACTTAAAATGAAAAAAAAAACGCTTTATTCTTCACTTAATTGGGTATTTATGGGTAACTTAATAATAAAAATGTAATACAGATATGCTAAATTTTATAGTAATTTATTATTCAAATTACTGATCCTATAAAAGTGAAGTCTAAAGGAAGCGAAGATGAAAAAAAAAAATATTGAGTGAAAAAAAGGTTAGTAAAATGAATACATTATACATAAACAAGTAGACAGATAAATTAAATTGTAGATTACTTCTGCTATGCAGTTGAATGAAAGTCACTTTCAACAATTGTGAAATATAAAATAAAGTATTACTAGTAATTTGATGCTAGAAACCATAAGAAACCATTACTTGAAAAAAAAGCTACGTTTGTTAATTTCATGTTATGTATTTATAAATAAACAAGCAGGTCAAAGAGAATTAAATTAAACAATCATATATATATGTTTATAATGAGCATTTTTGTTTGATAATTAATTTTTAATTAAATATGAAAATTCTTGCAGAAGTATTCTCTTGTTGAACTGCTTTAAAAATTAAGTATCATATTTGGATATAAAATTTTTTATCCAAATATGAAAGCAATTATGCAATCTCATCAAGTAGAGCACACGTTTTCTAAATTTTATGCTGTATTTTTAGAGTTAATTACACTCATGAGAAATAAAATAGCCATTTATAAAATTTCTTAAAGAAAATATGTATAAAAGTAAATTTTAGTGTCTTGTACTCAAAATGATTAATGAGGTTATTTTAATGTATATATTGAATGCATCTTAAAACTTAAAAAATCATTTTAAATAGTTCTTCATACATTTTACATATGCTTACAATGACCTTATCATATAACATTTTAACAGTTTGTATACACAAAGATAGATAAAGCTAGTTCTTTCTCAAAATAATTTATAATATAGTACATTCGACCATTTTTATAAACAATATATAATATTTAGACACTAATTTATATTAAATAGAACAAGTTGGTTACTCAGACATTCATCCATAAACACAATACAAAATAACACAAAACGTTTTTAAATCCACCAATAAAAGTATTGTTCCTAATTATTTGTATAAAATTTAATTATAAAAATTTTTTCCACGATTGTTTCGGCCTGATCACATTTTCGCAAAAAATTACTAATACTGAGGTATAAAACTTTCTGAATAATGCAGCAAAGAAAAACAGATTTAATGCCACTGCTTATATTACAGTAATTATAAATGTAGATATCCTATTTTGCCTGCGACTGAAATTAGAACTTCTTGTATAAGAAAATGCCTATTTTTCTCACCACAGTTGAGCATATTTCTGAACAAACCTCGGAACAAATGCAATTTTATTAGCATTATTACTTCAGTTTCAGCAACTTTACCGCTTTAAAGAGCGGATTATTGTTTACAATTTCTAAGCAATTTATAATTTTCAAATGTTCTTGTATGAAATTATTACTTGCCATCTATGATTATTATTCTTTCAGAGTTTACATCTAAAGGGATAATGCACATTATCGAGGAGAAAATATAGTTCTCAGATCTTTTCTTTGTTTCAGATTCACTAGTAATAATCAATTTTTTTTTCTGAATATTTGTCATGCACTCTCAACAACACAACGCAACTGGAATGTTTTAGACGTTAATTTTCAAGCAAGTGGATGTTGAATAACACCAGCAAATATTTACTCAGAGAGGTTATATCTTTTAGGCTCCTAAATAAGCCGCAGTAAGCTTTTAAAACTTTCTTTGCTTATAGCACTAATTTTGAAAGCTCAAATCCACTTTATATCGCAGTTCTAAATATATCGCAATTAATCCTGTCGATGACTTTTATTGACAGAATTTCCTCTCATTGATAGGCGTCAGGAGTGGCACAATTTGATTTCTTTTCCTCTTGCATTTGGTACATGAATTCTTTCTTTGATAGACATTATAAATGAAAGGAGCGATCGCTCCTTTCTGGCTGTTGCATTTGATCAACGGATATACACTTCAGTGCTTTGATAGGTTATTTTTCTTCATAATGTAATGAATTTCATCTTAAGACAAAGGTAGCCACACCACTGCGCTCGCGAATATCAACAAAAACGAGAGGTATATGTAGACGGACTCCACTGCAGCAGCACAGGAGGCACCTGAAATGCAGAAAAATTTAAGACAAAGAACAGAACATATTTTAATTGTAACTGAGGTCGCGAAATACACAAAATTTGTATATACAAATTGCATTTCGTTGTTTAATGACAGCAATTTACATCAAATTTTTAATTCATTGGGAATGTTGTTAATAAAACATTAAATTAAACTGTTAAATAAAACATTCGCTATTCATTTTCAACTTTGTTTTAAATCAGCTCTGAATTATATGTTGCAGTTTAACTCAAATGAAACTAATATATGTATTGATTCTAAATTTCAACGATTACAGACAGCCTCTTCACATTTCAATACCACCAACAAAATAAAAGACTTTCATTTAAAGAAAAAATAAATGAATTGAAATGTGGAAAACAAACGAAGGCCTTGCACTTAGTTTAGTGTCTAAACCTTTTCATCCAAAAATGTTGCTTACATGACCTTCAATTAGCTTAGAGAACACTCACTGCCCACCAAATGTGAAAGCTTTGAAAGTAGAAATGAAATGAATCATAAAAATCATCCGAATCCAAATGTTAAATTTCTGGAAACTCTTGTATCGTATATATAAAAATGATAAAAAAAAGTAAATAACGTATTTAATATTAAAATTTTCTAACTGAAACAAAATCTGAAATGTACTCCAAAAAATTTTAATAATAATATAAATAGTAATAATAAGCTTTTATTTATTAATATAACAAAAATTTAGTCAACTAAAGGCTTAGTTAAACCATTTGAATCTTGAGGATCATTATGTTTAATAATTAAGTGATTAATTTTATTATTTAAGTAAATGTTGAAATTACTCCTAATTCTCCACTCGCATTCTAAAACAAAGCAAATCCAGAGAAAAATCATTTAAAGAGTTAATATCGATAAACAGTAAATTATTTGCAGAAAATAAAAAGATTTGGCGTTCAGGACTTCTTCAGAATTTTGGTCATCCAATTCAAATGAAACTATAGTATTAGAATTGTTTGTTTTAGTGCTAGTTTTAATTTTAGGTTTAGTTTCTGCTTCTGTTGGACGTCTGTAAAATTATTCTCACAAAGTTTTGAGTTAAAATATGTTGTTCGGTTTTTGGTGTTGTTGAAAGCAATGTAGTAGAACATGTGTTTGCCCACCAAAGAAGCATACTTAATGAATGCTCTCCTTGAGATTTACAAAACTGATGAACAGGGTATGTCAACTCATGACATGAGAGGAAAAAGCATAATATGTAATTAATTTCACTGGTACAAACTGCTGAGTCAGTAGAGTCTCTTGATAATTTATTTCGGTCAGCAGGTACTTGGTTTCGTACTAAATGCTGTTCGGGAGAATCTGTTAGATTTTTACTCCCATTCTAGTCTTCAACAGTTATATTCCACGTCAGGAATCGTTTCACCACCTTGCCACACCTCGCTAAAGAGAATCTCGGCTACTGACTACATTGATAACCAGGACAACACACACCTCAACACGCACATCAAGATAACACACATTCTTCACCCATTTATTGGCTTCTACCGCGGTATTATGTACTTTATCCTCTTCAGTATCACGGTGCAGATGCAAGTAAAATGCAAGTTTCTTAACACAAATTTTAAGGGTTTTTTAAGCTAAGGTTTGAAAGATTCAAATAGGAAAAAAATAAAGATCCACTTTTAGGCCAGATGCAAATTTCATCTCTATTACGTAGTACAGTCGAAGCATTAAAGCAGAGAAGTCCAATAGTTCAATAATACTACGCCATACTGAAACACGGACGAAATTCAGTAACTAATTAATGTCGCCATTTTTTCACAAAAGAATATTAGCCAGAAAAGACTATTTTGTAAATCTTAAAAAGTTTTTAGAAGTTTTACAAATGAAAGGGTGCATACAGTAAGTAATATTTTGATAATTATTTCTAACATTAGACGTATTTAATTCCTAGATCTTTTAATTGTATTTCATATTATAATTTAAAATTTTAATTCTATTACTTTTCTTCCTTTTTGGAAAAATTTAACTTTTACTTTACGTAAAACTGTTTATAAATTTTGAAGGCTGTTTTAAAGTAGAGATATTATTCTGAACTATTCGAGAATTAACCATGTATATATATATATATATATATATATATTTAAATGAATGTTCTCTTAAGTTTCTAGAGAGGACCGAAACGTTAATAGGTATTCCTTAATTATTGAATGATCTAATGAAAAATGGCTAATGCCGCCTAACAGTGTTAGCCTTTTTCCTTAAACAAAATAGTTAATTATTAATTTTTCGTTATTTACGATTTTTCAAAATATTTTGGCATTATTTTAATTTTTACAACAGGTTTTTTTTTTTTTTTTTTTGTTTGTTATGGATTTGGTATTTGAATAGCTAATGTTAGTTGAATTATAAATAAAATTGTTTTGTTCCCGTGCAGTGCAGCGCGTGACGAATATTAAAAGAAAGCTAAGCCGGAAGATTAAAAATACAAGAGCGCGTGCATTTTACATTTAATAAATAAATATCTCTTTTTGATTTCGGGAGAGTTCCAGAAAATTCTCGCGCGCGATTTAAAATCTCATAAATAGGAGTAAAACCTCTCAGTTCGGTGATCTCAGACCAATTATGACATATGCGGCGCCAGCCTGGGCTACCGCCACTGAAAAAGATATAGAGAAACTCCAGAAAGTGCAGAACAAGTTCCTTAGGATTAGCACAAATGCCCACTATTATGTCAGAAACGAAGTATTGCATAGAGATATGAAAATTGAACCACTAAATCAATTTATTCGCAAGATTAATGCAAATTTCTTCAATGGTGCGGTAAATTGTGAACATCTTATGAACTTTAACTTGTTTCACTACGAGATACTTGCCGAAGATAGGTTTCTCAGGCCTTATGCTGCTTACCTGATTAAGGAAAATCAAGACTTTCCCACTTAATTAGTGTCTATTAAATAATGATCACGATAGTATCTACTTTCAGTGACACCAAACTCAAGCAGCAAGCGTCTGAGCCTCACCTTAGTTTACGAGCTCTTCTTCCCGTGCCCTTCTGTTTATCTCCTGACGTACTTGGACTAATATGCATATGTAAATAATTTAGAAGACTGATTTATATAATTAATTTTACTATTTCTACTGCCACATATGTTTTGTACTGTATTTAATTGCAATTTTAGCGAGGTATTCCTCAGAAGACTCGCAACCAATGATAAGTCAGGTTGCAGCCCACGTGACAACTGGTCACGCCACTTCGCCATTAGCTCCTGTCCTTCTGGACTCACACTTCGAACTTATTCTGTTTTCAGCGCCCAAAGAGCAAACGTCTGATGACAGCCAGAACACATCAAGCAGAATGCTTGATAATCTCGGCATAAGTGTAACTTGGAACTTGGAACAGTTCGGTGATTTTAATTAATTTGTTGTTTTAAGAGTTTGTTTAGAAAACTGCTCTGTTGATTGTAGCGAATTCGCGGATTAACTTTCTTTAGCTGTTTTGAATTAACTTTTGTTGAACGGTTGAGTAGTTAAAAGATAACTGCTGTGAGATATTTTAAAACTGAAAGAATATCTGAGGGAATTTAAGCATTTTGTGATAATAATAAATTTTTGTTCGTTTTTCATCGGACTTGTGCATTCATTTCGTAACGAACCCGTACGCACGCAACAATTTTTGGTGGCAGCGGTGGGATTTGAATGCCAACAACAAGAGCGATTGAAGAACAATTGAGGCACTCATCAGTGCTTTTGCTGCGTTCCAGGAAAAGATAGAAGCTGGCCAATCATCATTTAAAGAAGAAATGAACGTGGGACAGGAAGAAATGAAAGCAGATATAAAATCTCGTCAAGAAAAGATGGAAGATTCTGTTAAAAACAAGATGAGAGCCGCTAAGGAAGAGATTACCTGCGTAATAGAAAACAAATTTGATTTTATGGAAGGCAGAATAGACGCCGTTGAAAATAAAGTTGGAGAAATTCAAGAAAGAGTTTCTGCTGTGGAGCAACAAATCGAAGGAAGAGTTTCGGCCGTCCAACATCGAATCGAACAACAAATTGAAGAAAAAGTATATGTCGCCCGAGATCATGTCGAACAACAAATTGATGACAGGGTTTCTGCTGCCGTCGCCAAAGAAGTTGAAAGCCTAAAGAAATACATAGCGACAGCAGGAAACCATTCTGAAGGTTTTAAATTTCTATCTATGCCTACTCATCCCTTTCTGAAGCTATCTACATATGATGGGGAGACCTCCTGGCAAGTATATAAGACGCAATTTTCTATAGTGGCGGAAGAGAATGGATGGGATTCCCAATCTAGGGCCTGTCATCTTGCCGCTTCTTTGAGATATCCTGCAGACTCTTCCCGAAAACTAGACATTAGACTTTGAAGCTCTATCCAGCTCACTGGAGCTGCGCTTTGGAGAGAAGTGTTTAAAAGACTACAACAGGCTTCAACTAAAATCCCGTCAGCAGAAGCCCACCGTCAACTTCAGGAAGCCCTCGAAACACTTCAGGGTCTCGCCACGGATGTCATCACGCCTTTTTGGAGTGCCCGACAGAAACAAGGGAAATCCTGTCCTGCAATATTTCATCGATGGCATCCGGGACCCTGAAATACAGAAAGCTCTACGAATGGCGGATGTTAAAGATTTGAAAAGCGCTTTAGTGTACGCCATGAAATTCGAGGCAGCCCAGCAAGCCACTCGTCGAGACCGCCACCCAGTCAGAGCTGCTCAAGTCCAGGAGCCAGGGGATCAAGTCACGCTCGTCTAGACGATTTAACTAGACAACTGAACGCCTTGAGACGGAATATTGGTGATAAGAAACCGACCGTTAAGTGCTGGAACTGCGGTGCTGAAGGACACATACGACGAAACTGCAGAACACCCCAGGGTACGGATGTTAAGACCGCTCCTAACAAACAGCAGGGAAACTAATTAGTGGCCATCTCGCGGGGCGGAGGTTGCCAGATAATGAAAAGCCCCAGTTTAAAGCGCTTCAGATTTCTGCAGTGAGAGGCGGCAGTAATGGA